CCAAGTAACTAAGTGCGCGTCAGCCCGGCTTGAATACAAGTTGGGAAAGAGACTGTTTCCTGTGCCTGTTTTGGAAGAGGGCCCAAGGAACCTTCCCGGGAACTTTCGAGCAGGCTTGCCCCCTCCCGCGGACCAGGGAGGGTTTGGCGGCTCTCCCTGGAACTCGGTCCCCCAGCTGCCGCGCAGGCGGCACGCTCCGGAAAACCTGGATGGAGGATCGCTAGGCCTGGGCGCGCTCCCAGCCTTCCCGGCCAGCTCGCTGTCCCCGCCACTTCCAGACGGCCTTCCCGGTCTTCCCGCCGCTCCGGCGGGGCGCCCGCGGCCAGCCGGGACCCGCCCGGCGATGAGGTGAGTGCTCCCCTGGGCTCCTCTCTGGGTGGCGTCCTTGCCGGCTGGACGCCCAGAAACCAGAAGAGACCGTTCCCAGTGCCCGCGAAGCCGGGGGCCCGGGGCCGTCCCCGGGGGGCGCAGGAGGGCGGGCGCGGACAAAGATGCCACCCCAAGGCCCTTTGGGGAGCACGGGAGCCTGCTGAACCCGGCTTTCCAGAGACTCGGCCCGCGATGGAGTCTGTCCGTCTGCTGAAAACAACAACCCAACACAAAACAACAACCCCTGGAGGGGCCAAGTGGCGGCCCGAGCAGCAGAGGACTCCGGTTCCTCCCGGGCCGCTGCGCTCTGCCCGACCGGGCGCTGCCCGCGTGGATCCGCCGCCGCCCTCGGGCCCTGAGGCCCTTCCTTCCTGGCCGCCCGCGTGGCCCGCGGCTCACTTGTTGCTAGAGTGGTGAGTTGCAAGTCGCAGCCATTCTGCCTTTCCTGCTGCAAAGGGCTGTGTGTGTGTCCTGGGAGAAGAGGCGGGGATTCTAGAAGAACCCCCAGGACAGCAGGCTCCCCTGAGCCGCGCGAAAGCCACTTGCGTAGTTCTGTGACCAGTTACCACTTGGTGGAAGAGAAAAAGCAAATTGTTGTGATTTTAAGACACGTGAGGGCACGTCCTGGTGATTCTTTTATACACGGCAAATGCACCGGCCAATTGCTGGTTTGGCTGCGCGGAGCATCCTGCGTGACCTGGGTTCTGAATGGGACCACCAGGCAGAGTATGGAATACTCCGCTCTAGATCCGTCAATAAACACAAGTAAACTGGTGCTTACCTTGTAGACTGGGGACCCGCCAACCCTGCCAGGGACTGTGAATTTGAATAAAGGTTCCATTCTCTTGGAAGGTGCTATGTCTAGCCCTATAACGCCTGGATTTTTAATTTCAGGGAAAAAAATTTGTTTTTATTCTTTACTTTCATAGTTATCACTATATATTAATTTATACATTTAATTAAATGTTACGAAAACGTCGCGCTCGGCGTTATAGGGCTGGAAGCAGAATGTTTGAAGTGGTGAGAAAAACAAGTGAAATTCTTCACCTTGGGTTAAGTGTTTGCCTTATTGGGCTCTGTGGCACTGATAACACATGCACTGTGATTGGGCCCAGTTTTTGATCAAGGAAATTGGTCTTCAGAACCAAATTTCCCTTATATACACCTCTTTCAAGAGAAGACCGCGCCCCCCGCCCCTCCCTTGCAGAATTTAATGACGAATCTTAGGCTTGCTAGTTAGTAGTGGTGTCATTCTACCACTCGGACATGGTCACCAGTGATGGACTCGCCTGTTTTTCTGTTTTAAGTGGAGGCTCAACATCTCCATTAAATACGCAGTCGGAATATTGGCATACTAAATTGGAGCGCCTTCCAAGCTTCCGGTTTAGAAGTTTGCCCTCCCCTGCCTCCAGTCCAGAGGCCGGGTCGAGGCATCAAATGATCTTTTAAGGTCTGCTCTACTTTTGAAATTCTGTGCTTTTAATAACTCTATTTTCTAGTTTGCTGCTAGATGGCAGTGTTTAACAGTGGATTACACACACACACACCCTAAGCTCGACCTCTTACTATTGCTCATCTTATATCCTTTCTTCAGCAAGAGAAGAAAGTAGTACATTTCTCTTAAAATTTTTATTTATTTAATTAATTAAATTTTTTGGAAAGTAGTACATTTCTTTTTTTAAAATATTATTTATTTATTTGAAAGTAGTACATTTCAGCTTTATCTCACACACGAAAATTTTGGGAAAAAAACAATAGGGAATAAAAAGAACCTGGTTTCAGATAACAATAATGTTACTTCTATGTCTGTATTCACACATCCCTCATACATACCTCGATGCTTTCTAAATTCGGAATGGGAAGGATTGAGTTTAGCAAGAAATGCAATACTTAATTCAATTATGGCACTCGACAGCAGACATCTTTTTTTCTAATCATTTTATTAGGGGCTAATACAACTGTTATCACAATCCATACATACATCAATTGTGTAAAGTGCATTTGTACATTCATTGCCCTCATTCTCAAAACATTTCCTCTCC